AAGAAAAAAAAAACTAATAATAATAATAATAATAATAATAATAATAATAATAATAAACAATAATTTATTTGATTTAAAAAAGAAGGAATCAGTCAGTGTCATCAGGTAAAGATTAAAGTTATTATTATCACCTTCTTACCTTAATAAATAAATGATATATATATATTTTTTTTTATCTTTTAGGAAAATTTGGTACAACATCATGTAACAAATCATGATGTAATGTAACTAATAATAATAATAATAACAATAAAACGTTGTAAAAAAAAAAATATAAATAAAAAATATGGTGGTGGTTGTGGTATAAATTATTATTAATAAATTAGAAACTTGACATTGTATATACAAAAAAAAACAATTTATTTTTTTTTATTTATCAAAAAATAACAGCAAGAATTTAATATTAATATTATGTTAATATATATATTTAAATAAGAACAATCTGGAAAGACTGAGAAAAAACGTGCCATCTGCATTTGGTTAATTTTTTTTTTTTTTTTTTTTTTGGAGGGAAGATTTTAAAAATCTTATCATCATTTAATTATAATTTATTTATAATAATATTAAAAAACCATTACTCGTCGGATAATAAAAAATTATATTTATTACAAATTAAAATCGAAAGTTTTTCATAATGAACGCGTGTAATCGTTTTATATAAAAAAAAAAATTTTTTTCGTTTCTACAATCATTTTTAAATTACACAAAAAAAAATCGTTTATATGTACATCAAGAAGAACAAAATGGCGTACGCAATTGCGCAGAGGGAGTTTGCTGCTCACACAAGATTATTCACATTAGAAATGTATTTAAAATTTTTTTCACCACCACCACCATATTAAATATATATAAACGTGAATGCATTTAATGCAATATTTACTCACCTTATTTTATTTAAGTAAAAAAAAAAACATGTTTACAAAAAAAAAAAAAAAAACAATACACGGAAACTACCTTATTTATATGTTTAAATAATAATAAAAAAAAATTTTTTTTTTTTTTACTACAACAATATTCAACATCACGGGAACTATTGATTACACAAAATAAGGACGTTCGTTGGAAGCCGAGCCCACTTACTTTATGAAAGCGGCCATTACTGAAGTCAGTGGTAGAATTAGGCAAAATAGTAACTGGTATGTTTACTCACCTTCTGTAATGTCTCGATATTAACCGAATGTGAAAAATACTAATGGCGTATTTTATAATTATTTTCAAACGCTATAATTCCAACAACATTTTTAACCATTTGATAAATTAAATAACTTTTTACATTAATGATGAATTTAATAAATTTTAAATAATACTTTTTTTTTGAATTCGCCACTGCATTGTTTAAGAAATACATGGTTGCCAACTGTAATCAATGTTTTCAATAGCGGTGAAAAATAATGCAATTTTATGTATATATAAAAAAAAAAAAAAAAAAAATTAATTTTAATTTTTTCAACAAAAAAAATAAAAAAATTTCTTTTTAATTAATTATTTCGTGTCGAATTAATTTGTTAAAATAATTAATTTTTTTGTTATTTATCAATGTAAAGTATGTGCAAGATGAATAGATGATGAATATTTCCATTTTTTTTTTTTTTATAAATGATTGATATATTAAAATTGATTTAAAAAACATATTTGCCATTAAGTAAAAAATCTTTTTTTAAAATAATTTATTGTTTTACACTAAAAAGTTTTAATGTTAATAATATTCGACTGAGATAAATTAATTAATTGATTAAGATAATGCTAATGAAATTAAATTGCAAAAGTGCAATTTTTTAAAATGATTTGATGCACTTTTACTAATAACAGGAGATATGTGTACATATACATATTATTAATAAATATTGTCTGTATTTTTATTAAAAAGTTACCCTATAAATTAATTACATGGTCTATGAAAAGAAAAACATTATTAAAATATTATTTTTGTGTAAATTATAACTTGTGAGTCGAGGACTTCATTTTAATAAAAGAATTGTTATTTATTTATTTATTTAAAATTCACTTAAGATAATTGTTTATTGTTCAAGTTATATAATTATAAAAATATTTAAAGTTTAGATTGAATTTTAATGAGTACTTATATGATAGAATTGTAAAAAAATTATTTTAATTAAGCTTTTGTATGAAATTTGTTTTTAAAACTTATAATTATTATAATCGAAATATGAAATATATTATTATTTATTTAAAACGAAAAGGAAGAAACTTTAAATAAATTTATTTCACACATTAGTTTAATTATAAGGGGTTCTAAAAAAAAACATCATTACCAAGTTGTTCAGAATGTTAAGGAATGCAATTTTTTTATATCAGTTGAGTAGAGATAAAGAAAAAGAAAAAAAAAAAAAAAAACCATTTGAACGATACTGATAAAAAGTGTTAATTATGTAAAATTTACTACTTATGTAGATTAAATATGAATTTAACTCTATAATTGATAATTTATAAATATAAATAAATTTCATACTTTATTCAAGTTCTGATTTGCAAATCTAAGGTAAAATTATTACAATTGAAATCTAATGAAAAATAAGAAATCAAAATTTTTCATCGAAAAATTAAAATAATTTTAAATTCGAAAACCTAAACGACTCGAGTAAATAATGTTTTTTAGTTTAGTATATGTAGTGATTGATGATAATAATTAAAAAGTATATAAACAGAAAAAGTTACATGAAATAGGTCTGTTATGTATATGAGAAAAGAAAACAAAAGTTCTAGAAAAGAATATGTGGAATCACAATGGTTTGTTTTTTTAACATGCTGCTGCAAAAGCGAGTGAAATATACAAAAAAAAAATTTTGATTATTAGAATGCAATTTTAAAAAATTGCAAAGTTAATACTGAATTCTAAATATGTTTTCATTTTTAAAATAACTAATAGTGACACACAAATGTAATTTTTATACAATATGTTTCAATATGCTCGAGTAAAATTATGATAAATGATTATTCGATAAAATATTTTCTTACAAACTTTTATTAAATGGAAAAAAAAAAGTTCTCTTATATAAATTTGTCGCATGGTTTATATAATTTTTTATAATTAAATTAAATAATTAATTCAATAAGTATCGAACTTATCGTTTAATTATTTCATTCATTTTTTCTAGACAAATTTTTATTCGAAATAGACATTAAATAATAAAAATCCTTTTTTTTAACATTTTCCCTTGTAATATTTTATTATTAAATATTAATATATATAATTTTAAAATTCTTATGAGTTATGAAAATAGTTTTTAAAAAAAAAAAAAAAATGGTTGATAACCATGACCAGATGTTAAAAAAATTTTTTTTCATTTTTTTTTATTCTTACTCCCTTAGAGAGATTTCATGCCTCCACCATATTTCTTTTTTTTAAGACTTTCTATTTAATAATAATATTCTTTTTCTTTAAGGAGGTTATTATCACATTTTAAAATCATAAAAATAATCATCATCATTAATATAAACAAAAATGAATTTATTATTTTAAAAAAAAAAAAAAAAAAACCTATTGAAATTATTTAGGAGGGGAAAAATAATCAGATTTTTTTCCCTTTAACGGCAATAATAATAATAATAATAAGCAAAATTAATAGTGTTATTTAAAATTAAATTTATTATAAAATATTAATAATAATAAAACCGCATTAAATGTTGCAAAAAACTTTAAAAAGCTTAATATTATTTATTTAATTTAAATATCTATAATACTAATACTAAAACTAAATTGATTAATTAATTATAATGGCAGTAATTATAATCTTATATATATATATAAAATTGTATATAATGAAAAACTTAATTAATTATTATTATTATTATTAATTAGTGCACTTAAATATTATATCAACCGCAATAAGAGAGAGAGAGAGAGAGAGAGAGAGAGATAATAAGATATTTAAAAATATTTTTTTTCTTTTTGTAATTGGAAGTTTATAATATATATTATATATTATTAAGAGCGTTCTCTCAATAATTTTATATTATTATAACGTTCGACAGGAAATCGATTTATTTATTTTATTTAATTAACTAAAAGCGATTTTTTTATTCTATGATTTTTTTTAAAAAAAAAAAAAACCTGAGTGGAAGCACTAATAATTTAAAGCTGTTGTTTTTCGATTGATTGATTTATCTATTTAAATAAAATGTTTAAAAAATCATCATTATTATTATTATTATTTGAGAAAAATTAATTATAATATATTAGTTGAATTTAAATATTTAATTTGATTTCATTGAACGTCATTTCAACACGACGATTTCCTGTATGCCCTTATTTAATAACATAATTAAAATAAATGATAATAATAATAATGATAATATTATATTGAAATGGTCAGTCGGTTAGTGATAATGATAATAAAAATTAATTTTTATTCATCTATAACATCCCATAACATTAAAGCAGCATCCGTTCCTCCGACAGTGACAACATTTTTATCATTGAATAAAAATCTCGCACAACCAACTTGAAGACTGTAAACTTTTTCTTCTGTATATTCGGCTTTCGGACTCAAACAAGGATACCTGATTTTTTTTTTTTTTTATCATTACGTAAGTCATTTTTGATAAAAATTAATTTTTAAAAAAAAAAAAGAATACCTGAAAAGTCTCAAATATCCATCTGCATCACCGGTAACTAATAAATCATGAGCTGAACTTCGATTCAATGTAATTATCAATGATGCCATCGGGTAGTACCTGTTGTTCCAAATACCAGAAACTGTATAACCGGTCGTGCACGTTTGCGTATACCATTTAACATCTTTCATTGTTATCGGACTTTTTTCTGCTATCAAAGCTTTCGTATCCCCTTTTAATTAAAAAAAAACATGATAACGACGGAAAAGTAAAAAAAGAAAAAAAAAATGGACGAAAGTAATAAAAATTTTCTCACAATAAAGTAAATCGTAATCGGATGTTGTGGTTTGTAAATAATTTCCATCGGAACTCCAGTCTAATTGTATTATCGGTTGATTCCCTCGGATTTTATTTTGTTTTTTATAAGAAAAACCATCTCTGCTCACTCTAAATAAATATATGGTACCATTTTGTGATCCTATACCGATTGTATCTCCACCTAAAAATAATTCAAATTTAAAACCCCCTTTCGCCACCCCCTTCCCCCCCCTCGGACAGAAACGTTTTTCTCACTCACTCGGACTGTAGGATACGCAAGTTAAAGGAGACCCACAAACACGAACGGTTGTAATCAAAGTTCCATTTTCAGCGTTTAATATAATTAAATGACCTTCCGTGCTTCCCGTGGCGAGAGCAGAACCGAACGGATGAAAACTCAAAGACACGCATTCATATTGAACCTGAATCGTCCATATGAGTTTATTACGCCTCCATAGTGCTATGTTTTTATCGTGGCCGGCTGTGGCAAAAAGTTCGTCGTCTGGATGTACGGCAAGACCCCATAATTGCCTTCCATGACCGAATACCACCTATTAAACACACACACATAAGGGTATATGTTTACTTATATTACATTTAAGGGCGGCCGCCATTAATAATGAGTTGCGTGATTTGAATATAAAATTAAATAAAGCCGGAATAAATTTTATTTTATCGCTTTCATTGTTTTTATCAAAGATAAAATGTTTTGGTTTATAACAAACAAACGTACCTGATTAAACCTTCTTTGTAGTGAACCTTCTAAAATATTATTTTTAGTTGTTCCTATATATATGTTACCATCGTTTCTTCCAGGTCTTTGCGGATAAATACTTCTAACTCCTCCGAAAATTTCAGGAAGCTTAAATTTTATAACAAAAAAAAAATTAAGTGAGTGATTTTTTAACGTTTTTTTTTTATTTTCTTAACGGTTAAGGTTGGCTACCTTGGCTTCCGTTACTTTTTTATAATTTTGTAACGAATCCCATGCTATGATTCTTCTATCTTTTTCACCACCGGAAAGAAGAGTTCCTTCGGATAACATTATTAGCGATCCTATTCCTTTGTTATGAGCCTAAAAAAACAAAGGGGAGGGGGGAAATTTAAGGTATTTCATTTTGAAGATTTAAAATATAAAAATATTACCTCAAATTCCATTCGTACAAAATAAGCACCGTCAGCATCGACGGAATATATTGTTATAAAACCATCTGAATCCGCCGTAACAACGTCACCATCTTGTTCAAATTGTACGCTTGTTACGTTTGTTCGAGATGGCTGAAAAAAAATATTAAAATCAAATTAATTATTTTAATGTAATAAAATTACGAATAAAATGACAAAAATGATTTCAAATTATTTCTCACGGGTTTGATTATATCCGTTCTTTCAAAAAAACCATCTTTTCTTCTTATCCAAAATGTCAAATTACCCTTTCCGTGAGTTATGAGTAAATTATCGTCTAAGGGATGAAAAACTGCACCGGTGAGCTCATCTTGTAAAGTCTTAAGAAAAAAAATTATTTGTTATAGTTGAAATCCCCCCAAAAAAAAAGGAAGAAAGGGAATTAAAGACTTACTGCAACTTTTCCCAAAAGATGACCCCATTGCCACTGCCACACCGACATAATCCTTTCTCTTCCAGCATCTACTGCTAGAACGTAGCTACCACCGTTCTGTAGGGGGGAAAAAAGAGCTCTTAAGGTTCGAACCTTTGCATAAAAATTTACCTTTTATATTTTGCTTACTAATTGTGAAAAGGAAACGGCAGAAACTCCCACATCGAATTCTCCCATTCCAAAAACGTATAAGGTAAGTAAAGTTTCTGTGCTCCAGATACGTATATGAGCCTGAGTTTTTCTATTTTTACCACCTCTTTGTCCAGAAGCAACCATTTCCCGTGAAGGATGAAGTTCCATACTGAAATTAAAACGGATTAAAAAATTTTTTTTCAAATCGACATCCGATAAAATAAAAATATTTACCATTGTATGTCTTCTGTGTGACCGACATAATGTCTTTGACTATCTTCATCTCTGTCGTAGAGAACAGCTACAGCAGCAACAAAATAAAGTAATTCTCCCGATGGAAGCACCCATAAATTTTTTCTACTGTCGACTCCTCTATATCCAAATACCCAACTTAATGATAGTCTTTTGTCGGGTGGTGTATTATCCTGAGGAGCGTGATGAATAGGAGGATAAAAAGTTCTTTTCATGCCTCTTATGGTCACGCGAATCGGATCTTCCTTCATAACTTCAAGAAGAGTATAATCTATTTAAAAAAAAAAAAAAAAAAATTACATAACTTGAATACTCCCCCCCCCAAAAAAAAAAAAAAATTGTACCTTTTCAACCAAAACGTGCTGTGAATTTTTTTGTCTTCTGCGTGCGCTTGTTTTCTAAATCGTGAAGTATTTGTGCCAACGAACCTTCGTGCCTTTTCTAAATATTTTTTTACATTATGTGTGCATACTACATAAGCTCTCTCTCTCTCTCACACATAATTAAACATTTTTTGCTCACCGTTTCCCCGAATCGTTTCGGAATCGTAAATTGCACGAGGTTGACTTTTGCTTCGACTCCTAGATACGCTCCTGCTATGAGGTTCTCGTAATTCATCAGATAAAGCAGCACGAGATCGAGATCTTCTTGGACTGAATCCTCTTTCATATTGTCTATAATAATTAGGGATTTATTAAAATCATATTTTTGTATTTGAAAATAACGGTTTTTTCCTACGTCACTCTTTCAAAACATAACGAGTGTCGAATTACACACGTTTTAAATTCGTGTCCCCTCAAATTATTTTATCAATAAATTTTCTTTTTGCGTTTTTTTTCTTTTTTTTAATTTATAAAATCGTTAAAAAATGAAAAACATACATACCTATAATGTCCAGAACCTAAATAAAATGTATCAACGTCGGCAAATTCATTTCGTAATTGAGAAAAACTTCTCACTTCCTGTCCGGATACCGTGTACATACGTTTGGCTCCGTTCATTTTTAATACTTGTCCTAAATCTTCTAAAACTTCTTCGAAAGGTTGTGTCGTTCTCAAATTTAATAAAACTCGGCACTTTTCAAAAAGGAAAAAAAAGGCATAAGGCGTACATTTAAAAAAATTATTATTATTATTTACGTTATAAAAATACCTGAACTGTATGATCTAAATTATTGACGATTCTAATAACTCTTCCAGAACTGGGTTTTCCACCTCCGGGTGGTGGTAAATCACCATCGCCCAAAGATTGTTTTCTACTTAATGACGGTTTTGACCATCCTTGATTTTGATGTATCGGTGTTGTTGATTGTCCAGAACTCCAAGTACCATTTTTTTTACCATAACTTGCATTCTGTAAATGAAACAAAAGAAAAATGGAGTTTCCAGATGGATTTTTCCTTTTATTTTCCACTTTCCCCTGACATTATTCGATACTCACTCCGTTATTACAAACAAATTGATGATTTGATATCAAAGTAAAACTCGGACACATAATTTAAATTTAAATTTTATTTAATAATCGCTGGAGAAAAATTAGAGACGACGACGAATCACATTAAACACCGATCAAAACAAAAAAAAATTCCGTTAATGTGCGCATTAAATGAATGGGGGGGGGGGGAAAAAAACGATCAATTATTATCAATATCATTATCATTATCAAACTTTGGGACGTTGACTTTAACGATCATTTTAAATAAATTATTAATTTCGAAATCGCCCTTCAAAAAATTTTTACTACAAATAATAATAATAATAATAGAAATCGTAATGACTTTTTTTTTTTTGAAATTGAATGAAACGAGAGAAAATTTTTATCAAACGGTGATAAGCAAAAAAAAAAAACAATTTTATTCGTTTTTAATAATAATAATAATAATAACACTACTAATAAATAAATAAATAATTAATTAATTAATTAATCACCAGTAATTTTGAAACCCGTAGCAGAATTTTTTTTTTTTTTAAATACAAAACAGCAAAACAACAACAACAAATTAATTATTAAGGGGTAATAAATCTTTTATAAAAAAAAATTTTAATATAACCGTTTAACACAAAAGCGGATCGTAATCATCACATCACATGGAAAAAATTTTCCAAAAAAAAAAAAAAAACCAAAAAAACAACAGCAACAGCAATAAATTAAATCACGTTAATATTAAAACGTCCGACATTCAAACGAATCGAAGGTGACTCAATATATAAATTAAAATAGGAAGTGAAAGAAAAAAGAAAAAAAAAAGGTTTTTAATACGACCGAGGAAATGTTAAACGCTGGAATGAAAAATGTAAATCAAGGCTGGAGAAACACCAACGGAAAAAATAATAATTATAAAGAATGGCGTGACTGGAAACCTTTTTTTTTCATTTTTCTCTATCCGAGATTTTCATTCTCTTCAAGGCTGATAAAAAACAGCGCAAACTCTCACGTTCGTACCTTATCAAGGTCAAAAATACCAATAAAAACATTTTAAACACTTCCGATTTATAATATAATAATATAATAATAATAATAATAATAATAATAATAATAACGAATGAAAATGATATGTTTTTCTTTTTTCCAACCTCAAAATTTTTCTTTTCGGGTTTCGTATGAAATTTTTCCTTTTTTTTTTTCTATAGAACAACAGCATCGCATCAAATCGAGAGAGAGAGAGAGAGAGAGCATCGACGTCATTATTTTAAATAATAATAATAATAATAATAATAATAATAATAATAATAATAATAATAATAAACGACTTCATCCTTGATTTGAAGAAAAAATTTTTTTTTTTTTTAAATTTCCTTGACACATTAAAAATAATTTATTTTTTATTATATTTTTTTTTTTATTTTTACGACGTTTACACATATGAACGAACATACACGTATGTAAATAATTTTTTTTTTTTTTAACTTTAAAAAAAAGTTAATAAATAAAAATTCGAAGGGCGTTAAAACCTTCTGGAAAAATTCAAAAAAAAAAAAAAAAAAATGTGTGACACAAAATTTTTCAAAAAAAAAAAAAAAAAGATTTCGTGTCGTTCGTGAATGAATTTTACCCCTTTCGTATTAATTTTATTAAAAGTTGCGGAATAATATATGTATTAATAATATATAATATATAAATATATTATAAAAACGTGTTCAAGTTTTAAATTTTAAAATGGAGAAAAAAAAATTTTTAAATTTTTAATAATGAACGGTTACGATTGACTCCATCACACAAGCTTTTTTTTCGTTTTTCGTTTTTTTAATTTTTATATATAAAATCAAGGTTAAAATTATAAATAAATATATTTTTGTGACGTTTTTTTAAAAAGAAAATTACTTGCCCCCAATTTTTTTCCGTCAAATTTTCCAGGTTTTTTAAAAAAAAAATATTAAACGATAATAAAATTTTCACAAAATTTTAAAACGCTACGTAACGTTCGACAACAATTAATTTTTAATCAACAATTACGTCATACGAAAAATCAACCAATGAGAAAATAGATAATTAATTAATCGTTTCTCATTGGTCGATTGGTTGTAACGTTCAAAATTTAAACATTTCGTTCTTTTTTCTTTTTTTTAACGTTTTTTTATCCTAACCGAAAAGAATTCATTGAAAATCGTTTATGTTTTATTTTGTTTTGTTTCATGCATGTTTTTGTTTTATTACGATCGTATGGGTAATAAAAATTTTACCTTTTAATTTTACGTTTACTTGGAAGAATATCCAAAACATTAATAGTAAATAATAATAATAATAATAATAATAATAATAATAATAATAACGACAATAATAATAAAAATTCACGGAGTGAACATTTTTGCACGCAAATGTAAATTTTATATACGTTTTTTTTTTTTTTTTTGTTTGGACGATAAGAAAAAAAAAAAATTTAAGAAGGATGATGTGTTTCTGGAAAATTTTTCCATTGTTTTGTTTTGTTTTTTTTTCCGAAAGGGTCGTTAAGGTTAGTAATAATTATTCAATAAGTTTCCAACGGAAGAAAATAATAATAAAAAAAAAAAATTTTTTATTAGGGTTTTTTCAAATCAAAAATAATTTCGACATAATGGAAAAAAAAAAAGGAAAATTTTTTGATTTTTCGTTAAAATAAAAATTAGACATGGAAAGGCGTGAAAATCGTGGAAAATATATAAAAAATCGATTTTCTATTTAAATAATATTTTCTCATTTGTTTAAAAACCACCGATCACCCATTAATTATTATTATTATTCGCGTTAAACATTCCAGTAAATTACAAATTCCAGTAATTATAAAAACGATTTGATTAAATAAAAATTCGTATAATTTGTCACGTCGAATCCTTTTTTTTTTTTTGTTAATAAAAATTAAACGGGGGGGCGGACAGAGGGGGGTGGCGTGAAAAATTTTATGGAAAATAAAGATTAACGTGTTCTATTTTTTTTTTATAATCCGCCATTTTTAATATTGTCGAAATTACGTCGTAAAAAAAAAATTTAAAATCGTTTCAAATGAATTGATATTATATTTAATTGAATTAAACGTTATGTTTTTATAACCTTTTAACCCCTCTCCCTCTCTCTCTTTCTCTCTCTCTCTCTCTCTCTCTCTCTCTCTCTTTCTAATAAATTATTATTCAAAAAAATTATTTTGTTCTTGAATTTTAATTATAATAAAAATCCGATTAATTTTCGTTAATTATGTCACGGGAGAACCCCAAAAAAAAAAATAATTAAAAAAAAAATCGACTTTTTTTTTTTTTTTTGGGGGGGAGGGTAAGGGAAAGGGAAAAGTCTAAAAATTTCGAAAAAAAAAAAAAATTTTTTTGATTACTTACCTTAAACGTTTTATAACTGGACACGACATATGAATTACCATCTTCCAATTCTTCCAGCCTAGTTTTTCTCTCTCCGTCCATTGAAAATATGTATCTGGCTCCATATGGAAGATCCAATCTAAGGCTGAGCTTATCGAGAATTCCATCCAGGCTCCCGACGTCTCTTCCCGGTTTAAATCTAAATTCCAAACCGGGAAAAAACGGATCCCCATTTTTATAAAAAACGAGTTTTTTCGCTCTCCAATATGATAAATTATTATATTTAGCCGAATGATCTGGCCTGGATTTTGGCCTCGGTGGCATCGATGAAGATTCAGAACCTCCGTCGTTCATACCACCACCGGGACTTGCAGGTCGACTTGATACTCTCCAGTATCCACCACCACCACCACCCCCACCAACTCCTCCGACGATTACTCCACCGACACCACCACCACCACCACCTTCACTACTACCACCGCCTGTAAATTACATAAACGATATAATAATTTATAAAATAAAAAATGAAAACAATTTAATAAAAAAAAAAAAAGTTAAAACGTTCATTTGTTAATAATATGGACAAATATGGACACCGCCCTTTCGAAAAAAAAAAAACGTTAAAAAATTTACAGAAAAAAAAAAAAAAAAAAACTTAAACGTATAATTTTGTTATAAATTTTAACAAAGTTTATGGATAAATAATATTTATCGATATAATTTAGACGTCTGGAGGCAACGTTTTCCTTGCACTTTCATTAGTTAATTTTCTTTTTCGTTAAAAATTACATAATTATTATTATTATTATTATTAATATAATTTTACGTGGAAATTTTAGTCGAGGGAAAAACGCGTCGAATGAAACATCATTATTATCATTTCTTAAATTAAATTTTACGATAAATAGCTTTTTTAGGGTTTATCAAATCTCATCTTACGTGAGTATTATTTAAAATCATCATCATCATCATCATTATTATTATTATTATTAGGATTTAATTTGAAAACTTACCGAATTCGGTAACGACGGATAAAACGTCAAAATCAGAAAATGTACCAACGGATGAACCTTCGATTGTACTTAAACTCATCACACGTTATCACATCCATAACATTTTTATTTATTTATTTTATTTATTTATTTATTTACTGTCTAATAACATATTGATAACGATGATAATTGATAATATATATTTTTAATTAAATAATTTATTTAGTTTATTACCGTTAATAATTTTTTATTTTTTTTTTACTTTCGTTACCGTAAACAAAAAAAAAAATAAGAAATTTTTAAAATCAATTTTAAAAAAACCGTTAAAATGAGGCCAAGGACTATTATTATTATTATTAATATTATTATTATTATTATTATTTTTACTTAAAATCACAATTTTTTTTACTTAATTTTAATTTATTTTCAAAATATATTCATTCAAATTTAGTAAAAAAAAAATAGGTCGAAAAATTTGCGAGTAAACGTTTAGGACAAACCACGTAAAAAATTTTTGTAAATTAGGTAAAAAAAGAATAACGGGGGGGGTTGAAGGGGGAGGGGGTGCGAGAGGGTAAAAAAAAAAATTAAAATTTTTCTTTTGGAAAAAAGCCGTTTACTACGAAAAAAAATTTGCAAAATCGTGCATGTAATTTATGACTTTCAGATAAAAATCATTATTTCGAAGGGGGAGGAGGAGGAGGAGGAGGAGGAGGAGGAGGTTACAGGGGGAAAACCTAACAAACATTATATAGACGTACACGCACACACGCATGCACTCTTTAACACGCGTTTACGTATTTTTATGTTATTTTTGTTAATGACAACCGAATTTTTTTTTTTTTTTGTTTTAAAAGCACGAAATTTAAATAATAAAAAAATTTTAATCCAGACCAAAGGGGGTATTTCGGGGGTGGGTTTGAGGGGTGTAATGAGGGCACCTTAACGAAATGATTTATATTTAAATAAAAAAAAAAAAACGAAATACATATTATTATTATTATTATTTAAAACTATGATAGATCTAATTAGTTTCCAAGAACTTGTACCAATTTTTTTTTTTTTTTGTTTAATTTGACCAAAAAAAAAAAAACTCACGTAATAACGAATATGGTTTATAAATTACGCACTCACGCAATAATAATAATAATAATAACAATAATAATAATAATAATAATAATAATAATAATTTAATATTTTAACAAAAAACACAAAATTTAAATAAGAAAAAAAAACGCGATGGTTTAAAAAAACGAAACATGATTTCTTTTTATTATTATTATTATTATTATTTGTTATAATTGCACAATTAAATTGTTACGTGGTAGCAGAAAAACAAAAATAATAACACGTGAATTTATTTATTTACTTAAATAAATAAATAACCAGGTACGCGGAAAATTTAAAATTAAAAACGTTTTAAATATAAAAAACGACGGAATTAAAAAAGACGTTCGAACAAACGTACAAACAAACGAACAAACGACCGAACGAACGAACGAACGAACGCCTTGACCCGTTCAATTGAATCTTAATAAACTTAAATTCGGACTTGCCAGATTTCTACCCTTCGGTGCGAAAGCTTTTTCACCTTGATTCGGTTGATTTTTTTTTACACCACCCTTCATCACTCCACCATTTTCCTTTCCTACCCCCAGCCCCCGCTCCCCGCCTCCCACCCCCTTTCACGCGAGTTCGTTTGTAAATTAAAATTAAAATTTTTTTGTTTTTGTTACTCGTGCTGCTATCTATCGGAATTTAAATTAAATTAAATTTTATTATTATTTATTTTTCTTCCAGATTTTGCGCAAGTTTTCATTTTCATTCATTGACTCCACCCCCCCCCCCGGTTGAAAATGATTCGTAGCCCAAGACTCACATCATTTTTTGCCTCCTATTTAATTATTTGATTTGGGTCATTGAATATTGCAATTCACGGTCTTTAAAAAAAACGTATAAACAAACAAACAAACGAACAAACAAAACAAAACAAATTTTTTCCGTTTGTGTTTACGTTTTTTGAAAATAATGAATGGAAAACGCGTCAGACGTCACATTTTGAATTTAGGTCGCCATTTTGACAATTTAATTGATGAGAAGAAAAATTTTTCATATACCTAAGGGGTCTCATGGGTCCGCCTTACAATTTAAAAAAAAATTTTTAGGAATCAAAACTTACCAATATGAAGAACCGTATCTCTGGATGATGTATTTTCATCTCTCGAATCATCCGAATAGAAATCGTCTTTTTGCCTTTCGTCTTGTAACCTTAAAGGTACCGGACTAGATGGTCTTGATTGTTTATCCATTTTTTGTGTCGGACTATGAACTTTAGAATTACGAGATGAAATCACTTCGTTTAATGGTTCCGATGATATTTTTGTCTCGTTTGTACCTTCAGCATCCGTACCAATTTTTAATTCCTTAATATAATTTTTATCTCAATTATTTTTTAGTCACGAAAAAAAAAAAAAATTTTTTTTCCAACTTACCGACATATCAACGTCATTATTATTTTTTTCTTGATTTTCTTCGTATGAATCAATCGTTTGTCGACCTTCGAGCATACCTGAAAACATTTAAATTTTTTAAACAACAATAATAATAATAATTATATTTTATAAGATAAGGGTAAAACTACAAACGATCGAGAAATTATACGACAACACAAACGCACAAAAAAAAAATAAAATGGTAAAATTTTTGGCAAAACAACCCCCCTCGCCCCCCCTCCCTCTTGAAATTCTCCCCACCAAAAAAAAAAAAAACTCTAGTAAAATATTAACACAGTTTTTAACATTATTTAATTACCTTATTACCATATTAATATAATGAAAAAGGCTACCATTTTTTTTTATTAGAACACCAATAATAATAATAATAATAATAATAATAATAATAATAATAATAATAATAATAATAATAATAATAATAATAATTTTGTCGTAAAATAAAAAGGAGAAATTTTTTTGTTTTTTAACGATTACATGCTAATATAAAATTTTTAATTAAGTGAGGGAAACTTTAAAAGAACAAAAAAAATTGTTTTATTTTCCTTTTAATTAAAAATACACGAAACTAAAGCAAAAAAAAGGCAGACATTTTGTTTTTATTAAATCGAAATCAAAAATTTTTAAAGGAAAAAAAAAAAAAAAAAAAATTAAATTTGCAAAACCGATGTCGATAATTAATTTAAATCGAACAAATTCGACACAAATATGAAGGAGATGATGATTTATCGAAAATTCTATTATTGATAAGAGGTTGTTATCAATTTAGAAAATTTATTTAAACAAATTTGATAAATCATTTCGAAAAAAATAAATAAAATTAAAAAAAAATAAAATAAAATGGATGCCAATTTTTCCCACGATAAATTATTAAATAAAAATTTATTTATTTATCATTATTATTATTATTATCATTAACACTACCATCACTTAATTTATTAACTTGTGGTATAACATTATAAATAATAATAATAATAATAATAATAATAATAATAATAATGAGGGATTTAATAAATTAATAAACTAAAAAAAAAAAAAAGGGAATATTTTTGATGCACACGTGGATCGATTTTATGTAAAATAAAATAATTTTATTTTTTTTTATTGATACCCGTACGATTTAAATTTTATTAACAAATAAAAGTACCTACTCGTTATTAACTACTACTACTACCAGTACTCGATAATTTTTTTTTTTTTAATTAGTACCCGTAAAAAAAAAAAAAAAATTACCCACGACGGATTCTCGTGTTTTATTTCGATTTAAATAAAAAAAAATTGACAAATTTAATTAAAACAAAATAAATAAATAAATAAATATATTAATAACCTTATTAACGAAATTTGAAATAAATTTTTTCTTTTTTTTTTCGTATCCTTTTCTTCGTATTTAAAAAAAACCAACTTTTCGCAAACTGTATAAGTTAACACGTTAGTTAAACGGTAAACAAATAAAATGGTGGAAAACTTTTTCCTTTTTTTTAACCGGTAAAAAAAAAAAAAAATTTTCTTTTCGTGTTCTTAGTTATTTTTCTTTACCGTGCCCCCATCCCCACCCACTTACCACCCCTTACCACGCTTATTACCCTCTTTCTTACTCACTATTTAAACCTTTTGAATTTACCCGGTTTTCGACCGCAGTAGCCATATTTCACAATATCCGGTTGACCTGCATTACCCTGATAGGGGTAAAAACCGTCGGCATGAAACGGCACGTTACGTAAATTTAACACTCTCGTGCCCCTATATTTTTTTTACCTTACTTGAGATTACAAAGACGGACGTTGGGTGAAAGAAAACACGCGATTCTTCTCGTCGTTATTATTATTATTTCGTTTTTCCCCTGAATCCCCTTATTTTCCCTCTCTCTCTCTCTCTCTCTCTCACGCATTTTTCATACGCATTAAAATTATATTTACGCACTTATTTTATTATAAAAAAGGCAGAAAAAAATCGATTTTATTAAAAAAAAAAAAATTATCGATTAATTTTATATATATATGTAACGAATTCATTAAATTTCCATACGTAAATATATATATTTAAAAAAAAAAAAAAAAGTATTTCCGGTTTTTGTAATAATTTACATTTTTCCTTTTCTTTTTTTCTTTGCCATTTAAACTTTTCCTTATTTCTTCACTTCCTATAACTGGAAAAGCTAAAATTTTTGGAAAAAAAAACAAAATTTTTCGATGTGAAATAAAAATTTAAACAAAAAAAGTATGGAAAAAATTCAATCGTTTTCTCTTTCTCTCTCTCTCTCTCATCCCCCTCCCCCCTCCCCCTCCCTTTTAGTTAATTGATTTTAATAATTAATTGTTTTTTTTTTGTATTAGATTTTGTAAACTTTGACCGTTTTTGTTAAACAACGTGGCTTCCATTTTAACATTTAATAAAAATTTCCCGAAAAAAATTTTCACGGGTAATTTTCATGACTGTGCACGGGGGAAAAACGTGAAAAAAAAAAAAAAAAAAAACAAAAAATGGGGCTTTAAATTAATTTTTAGGCGAAAAAAAAAAAAAACTTATAATTTTATTACCCGGTGATAAATAATGATTGATTATTTAAAATTAAATACATACCATTAACACAAAAAAAATATTATTATTATTACTAAAGGAAATAAAGTTAACCACAAAAGGGAACCCCCGTTTTTTCATACGATTTATATAATATGTATTATTCTAATCAAATAATATATAATGATAAGAATAAAAAAAAAAAAAGGTTAAACACCTGTGACGACGACGACAATAATTTTTTTTTTACATAAATGACCTCTTTAATTGTTAAATTATTATTATTATTACGGTTCCCCGTCGTTATTTTTTTTTTTTTTTTTTTTTTTTTACTTTTATCGATCAAAAATATAAGCAATTATAATGAAATATTTTTTTTTGTTATACAAACTGTTAAAGTGTAATTAAAGATATACACGCAAAATACTTGTGGCCTTGTATACAAAAAAAAAAAGGGTACCCCGATATGTATATTGTAATTTTTTAAATGGAAAAACTACCTTTAATAAACTTTCCATCCTTGCCCCCCCCTTTCTCCCCCTCCTCCCTCCCCTTCCCCCCGTTTAAATTGACATTTAAACGTGTACGGTTAAAGTTATACAATAAAATAAAATTAATTTAAAAGTATAACGAAATTCATGAGAGTGTATTTTTTTTTTTTTTTGTAAATATAAGCAAAAATTATTTAAAATAAAGTACATAAATAAATATAAATATATATAAATGAGAGAATG